GCGCCAGCTCAAGTACTGGGTTCAGTTTTGGGCACCACAGGATAAGAAGGACACGGAGGTGCTGGAGTAGGTCCAGAGAAGAGCAGTGAAGATGGTGAAGGGTCTGGGGAACATTTCTTAGGAGGAGTAGCTGAGGGAACTGGGGTTGTTTAGTCTGGAGAACAGAAGGCTGAGGGGAGACTTTATTGCTCTCTGCAGTTACTTAAAAAGGAGGGCTGTGGTGGTGAAGTCCCACTGCCACGTGGCTGATCACTCACTCCCCACCCCTCAACGGGGAGGGAGAAAAATACAAACCCCTGTGGGCTGAGATATGGAAAATTTAATAACCCAGCACAGAAGGAACAGCAGAGTAGCAATGTATATTATAAAGCATACAAGGGAAGAGGTGACCACAGCAGCTCTGGCTGGCACCTGTGGACATGCCAGCCACACCCCTACTGCCCAGGCATGGGGTCAGCCTGGCAGCAAGTGACCCCCGGCTGGGCTGGCTGCTGCCCCCCTGCAGCTGCCGCCCACAGCCAGGGGAAAACAGCCCTGTCCCAGCCCAGACCAGGCTGTAGTGAGGTGGATGTTGGGCTTTTCTTACAGGTTACTAGTGATAAGATGAGAGGAAATGGGCTCAATTTTCACCATGGGAGGCACAGATTAGATATTAAGAATTTCTTTCCTGAAACAGTGGTGAGGCACTGGAACAGGCTGCCCAGGATGATGGTGGAGTCACCATCCCTGGGAGGTGGTAAAAAAAATCGTGTAGATGTGGTACTGTCCATGTTCTGAAGGACATGGTCAGACCTGATGATCTTAGAGGTCTTCTCCAACCTTAATGACTGTATCTGGCCAGTGAAGGCAGCAGAATAACATTACTTGTTAAGGGAAGACAAGGGAAATGGAGAGAAAAAAAAAATCAGGTTATCTGAATTTCATTATGACCATTCATGTTTAATAAATCTTACTTACATTTTTCTCTTACCTTTAATGATTAGAGGACAGAATTAAACAAACATTGAGAAATACAGCAGGAAGGACAAAATTTAGAAAGCATTTCATTTTGACTTTGAATGAAAATTGGAGTAATTGAGATGGAGTTTGAATATTTGTTCAGTAAAAAACAACAAAGGACGAAAGCATATATACCACCAGACTGTGTATTTTAAGATACTTACTAGAAAGAAACTCTAAAAGACATTAGTGTAGCAAGTTACAAAGACTGTTAGAATAACTTGGGAGCTGAAATTATTGACAATTGACTTGCTTCCTCAAAAAAAATTATAGTGGCATAAAAATTTGTGTGCCACTTTTCTCTGGTGTTTGACAACAGATGCAGACTGTGCTTGTACTTTGACACAGGTTTTTTGAAAGCCATAAACACTAGAAGTCAAATTTTCCTTGCTCAGAGGTTTGGGTCCCAGCGTTGAGCTCCCGGGGTACCGTACACGTGTGTTCAGGTGCCAGTGCCGACAGAGGGGCCACATGAACCCCTGAACAGGACGCCGGGAAGAACACACACAGCTGCTGTGGCTGAACAGTACAGGCACCAGTGCCCTGTGCATTTCAGCTCACAGTGAGGTGCACATGTGGACTACAAGATAGGACATAAAGGAGTATTTCAGCATTTAAAATCCTTTCTTTGAAGTAAAAAGAAATTTAGAGCTAGGAAGAAACTCTAACAGGCACTGAAGAAGCTTGTTACTGCACATGAGCTGCCAGTGAAGTTTCCCAATTCTGAAGGTCCTCCTTGGTCACTCTTACTTTCTGGGCTCCCTCCAAGTCAGGTGTGTTATCTGTTTTGCAGCTGATTGTATCTTGTGATAGTGGACATGCCATCCACAAACCTGGTCTTGTAGAGGACGTTGGCACTGTTAAACATTCCATCCTTCAGGGACACCACAATGAACTAAAACGAGAAAGCTGGAAGTGAATGCTGCCATCCAGACAGAGACTTAAGCAACACTGGGAAAGGCTTCTAAAAAGAGAATGCCTTTTACTTTTTTTGGATAATACCTTGGTGGTAGCTCTTCATAAATGTAACTAAAGCCCTGCAGAATGTGCTAAGCAGGTTAGCGTACAACCACAGGCCAGACCTCTTCTGCAGCTAGTGATGCCTGTCCCAGGCTTGGCCTGGGGTACAGCCTGCAACACAACCCTGTTCACACTGCATCAGCCAGTCACTAGAAAAGATGTTGCCACGGATTTTGTAAGAATGCAGAACCTTTCACAGGCTGCAGATACTGCTCAGATTATTTTACAATGCTGGTAAAAAATGTTCACCTCCTCTCAATTTGGAAAGGTCATGTCCTACCACCAAGCAGAGATAGGTACTGCCTGTTTCACTGAGAGTAATAAGTTTCTTCATTTCCACAGATTTTTTTTCATGCACAGGCCACAGTGATACAAAGATTCTTTCCACTAGTGGAAAGGGACAAAAATATCAGGTCATGCCTGAAATTGATCCTATCACAGGCATTCTTCCCCAACTCTACCTGTTTTTAATCCACTGCAGTAAGGGCTTACATTACAATGTAATGCTGCAAAGTTTCACAGTTGCCCAGTCATCCCTGCACCTTCCAGTTGAAACAACTTAGAAATACAACACACATCTCTGGAATAAAGATCCTGAAGAGATGAGGCTCCTCTGTGACAGACTGCCTCTTAAAATAATGAGGTGCATAAATAGATGAACACAAAAGTTTCAAGATCATACCTGGGAGTGTCTGAAGTGAGCATTAAGCATCTGCCCGATATTCTGGGTATGAGATAGATCAAGGGCTGCATCCACTTCATCCAAGATGTAAATTGGGGCAGGTTTGAAGAGAAGCATGGCTAAGATCAAGGACAAAGCCACCAATGATCTAATAAAGAGGACAAGGCTACATTTTACCTTCTTGTTTGAGAGGCTTTGGCTTATGAAAACATTTGTTTGGTAGTAACAAAATGGTCTCTCAAAAGCAGACTCCAAGGCTGGAACATTTAATTCAACAGCACCCTCAGTACTACCTAGAGTCAACTGTACTCAATCGGTTGTCACTTCTCCATGGGGAAAAATCTTGCTTGTTATCATAGGGCAAGTAATGCATTTTTTCTAAATCAGATTCCTCTTTGAGCTGAACTAAATTAATAACAATGTGTTCAATATTAAGCCAGGTTGGAAAGAGACAGCATCCCTGACTTGACAAAAGAAAAGATTCTTTTTGTTTTTCTGAACTACAGTTAGCGAAAGATTCCAGTCATATACACAACTGCAATGGAAAAACGAACAAAAAACCCACAAAGACCACCAACCTTTGTCCTCCACTAAGCTCTGTTAAGTTCTCCTTCCAGGTGTTTCCTAAAGCCACTCTGAACTCCAGCCCTTCCAAGCCATTCGGGCCGTTACAGGCCTCCAGCATAGCATTGGATCCCGGTAGGAGTGTTGAGAAAATGGAACCAAAGTCTTCATTCACCTACAAGTCAGACCACAAAAGAGGTATGTACATGTTTCAAATCAAGAGCTGAAACAGCAGAAAACTCAGTGCTAGGCTGCATTGTGCTCTACAGATCTTGCCCAGTTTAACCCATTGACTTCTTGTATTTTGAAGATCAGCACATCCAGGATCTTGAGAAGATGTTGGCATATTGAATCTTTTCCTTCCTCTATACTGAAAAGAGAAGCCACACTGAGGGATATATATATAAGGAAAGAGGATACACTATACTAAGCATTTTATAAGGATCAAATGAACTCATTTATTCCACCACCTATGATGCTTTTAAATGCAACTCACTCTTTTTCACCAAACAAGATTTTGCAATGAAAAGGTACCATTTTGTCAGTCATGTCTTGAGTATAGTAATAATTAAAACTGATAGTTCATCTATGAGCAATCTAATCTTGGACAGAATCAATCTTCTTAAAGGCCAAAAAGTACAAGTTCTCCTGGTACGGCAGAAAAGAATGCATCAAGAACTTGTCTATATAGAAAGGGAAAATTTTACACTTGTTACAGTTGATGACACGAGGCAGCTGGTAAGAAGGCAGAGTGCTTAGGTAACAGAAACACAAATTGGCTGTTGCTCTTTTCCTGTATCATCTCTCTTACCAGTGACAGGAACAATACAAGGCCACAGCCTCAGATTGTTTGAGGCTACCCAAACCCAGAAGATTTTTACCCTGGACAAATACTGGTTAAAGCCAACAAAAAGTAAAATAAGACTCCATCACTGTTTTGCCCACATTCTACATAAGAGACAACAATTTTAACATGCCAGTAGCTTAACCTTCCTTAAATTTTTGTGGACACTAAAAGGGAATGGTAAAAGAGGTTTGTGGGTTTACCTGTATCATTACAGTTCTCAGAGAATTCATGTGTTATTGTCAAAAGTGAGAAAATAATAGGAGAAATTAAGTGGTTATTTTGTAGTGTAACTAAGGCAACGGAGATTGGTTCTGGAAAGAGACTTTGTATTTTTTCCCCCCAAGGAAATACCCAAAAGAATAATGTAAGACCAATCTGAACATCTGCTAAAATGTGAAGATTAGATTTCAAGTTGTCATACCTTTTTCCAAGCCATATATAAAACTTCATGTTTCCTCTGGTCAAGCTCTTTAATAGTTGAAAGAATTTTCTTCTTGTCATTCTCTACAATTCTTTTTTTCCTCATTAAATCATTGTACTGGTGCAATGAGAAGAAAATACTGATTTCAATAAACTTTGTCATCAAAAAAGTTTTGTACAAACCCTACAGTTTCACAGTTCATTAGTTCTGTGACTATCAAATAGCCATTAAGTGAAAGACTGAAATCCAAAGCATTAATTTAGCTTTATGCTGGATTAAATTTTAGGATATTATTTGCAAAATGAAGCATTGGAATTTTCAACAATCAACAAAGAGGAAGACCAACATTATTCTGAAAATTGCACTCCCCTTTCAATTTAATCATGTTTCATTTGCTTTTCCATAAAAGAAAGGATGCTGCTGGACGTTGAGAAGAAAAACAGGTCAATTTTAATCATGAAATAGTACTGGAAAAGTTGAAGTGTCAGTAAGGGGATAGTTTTGAGTCAGTCCTGGAACAGCCTCAAGACACAGATGAATTCAAGACGACCCTGGAACACGTTCATGCTATTATGCTTCCAGATAAAGTTTTTTGATCTGCAGCCTTTAATGAGGTATGTAATTGCCGGGTACTGTGATGGATACCACAAGGCTTGCCTAACGTTGCTGCTGCCAGCTGGGGATGGGCTGGGGTAGGGAGGAACGAAATTAGCCTTTCTACCATGCAAGGTCAGGACTACCCACAGCCTGGAAAACTAGTACACAAGTGAATAATTCAAAAAAGTAAGACTAGTATTAAAGATCTAACAAAAGGTTTCCTGCTTTTCTATGAAAATTTAGTTTTATTTTTGGTGTATTCAGAAACAGATCATAAGCAAACATGCTTACCCTCTCCTCAGTATCAGAAAGCATAGTCATAGCTCTCATGTTCACATTCCTTCTCAACTTCTCTTTTCTCTCCAGTAAATTCCGCAGCTTCTGAGCTGCTTCTTTAGGATCGTTAGTTTGGAAGTCATAGGCTGTGTTTGGCTGACCAAAAAGTGGTCTGTCGGAAGCTATCCACTCATACTTTTCCAGCATTTTGGTCACCTGTAAACAAGAAAATATATGTTAAGGCTTTTTTTTTCCTCCCCAAATATGAATTAAAGATAATGATAATTTTTAAAACAAATCAATATTCTGAAATTACTCTATAACATTAATTCTTTTATCTCAGTGCAGCATAGGTACGTACCTTTACCATGCTTCATGTGTAGTACTGTATTTCTAAGAGTACAGGTGAACCAAGATTTTAATGGAGCTTTCACATACATCACACCTACTTGGAACACACTTTTCTATATCTGGATTAAGCCACTGTCACTCAATCTTGGGATCATTGTCTTTAATTAGTTATGTAATTTGCCCATACAGTCAGAACATTCTTGTCGTCGATCACGCTCTCAGTGTGACCTACTCTCTATTAGTCCATACTGATAAGATCCATTACAATTTACAATTGCCACCTGCTCCTCTTGGAAAAAAAACTTCTCACATCAAGAGCTGCAAATATGTAAAATATGACAGTGCTTCTTAAGAAAAAAAAAAAAATCTATTTTGTTTGCGTGTGGCAATAGGAATAACTGCTCTTGGTCACAGGCTGCAAGGAAAAGCACAATTCTGAAATACCTTGGCAGCAGCATCAGCAGCCTCTTGATTATGTTTGCTGATGTTGTTTTCTAATGCTTTCATCTTAAGCTGTAATTCATTACTTTGTTCTTTGTATTTGGTTAACTCCTCAGATTTGGCTTTAATTGCTTCATCCTGAACCAAAATTGCTTCCCTTTGCTTGGCCAGTTCCTTCTGTGATTTCTCTAGAGATTCCTGAAAAGCAAATCAAGCAGCCATTTATTAGCTTCTTTTAAAGGCTGGTATTAAGACAGTTGTTAGAAAAGGACACAGCAAGGAAGGAGAGTAAAATTCACATGCAGCAACTAAGCCAAACAAATGACCACCTAGGTTAAAATAATTGAGTGTTGGTAAGAAAATCCAGACAACAAAATAGAGATTATAATCTGGATAAATTTAGGGGATCATACCTTCAGTAACATCAGAACAGATAAACACAGTATTCACTTTTACCTTTGTCTTTGACACCTCAGCTGTCAAAGCATTAATTTGCTCCTGGTAGGATTTGATTGCTTTATCTGCAGCCTCCTTCTGTTGTTCATAGGAGGCCTGCTCTTGCTTTAGCGCTTCAAGTTCCAGAAGTAAAACTTCAAATTCCTAGAGAGATGTTTTCAAATTTATTAAAGAGAAAGAATTAAGATTCAGTTTGATGTAGTAGATGCTGTAGAAGATGAACAGTACCCATTCTTCAGCAAGGACACAATCTCACAAAAAAAGGAAAAGAAAAAGCAACCACCAGTAAGGTACAAGTCAGTGACTACAGAGTAATATATCAAGTTCCAAAACTAGCAGCATTAAAAACTCCGGAAGAATCAAACTTTCTGATTACTTCAACCACTTCTAACATCGAAAAAGCTTCCAACAAAGATTTAGTCTTACCTGCTTCTTCTCTTTCATTTGTTTGCTTGAAGCGTCTCTGTTTTTCTTGGCATTATCTAGTTTCTGCTGGGCATCTTTTAGTTCTTTTTCACATTCTGCTTTTGCATTCTTCACTTTATTTGCTAATCCGTTGTACTTATCTTCTGCTTTCTTTTGACTCTCTTTAGTTTTCCTTAATGTCTCTTCACACTCCGCTGAACCAAGAAGTACAGTACTCAGATTGGGCATTATTGTTATCTTTAAATTTACATCCTTAACTCCAACTGCAACAGATCTGTCTTTGTCTCTAACAGAAAAAAATTTTACATTTGCTAGTCACTGAAGTCAGCTATTCTAGTGATTATTCCAATATGCTGTGCTATTACTAGTGGTTACTGGTAGGACACCAATTTCACTAAAATTACTGAAAATAAGCCCTTTTTCTTTTTTTTTTTTTTTTTGACAGAGGCAAGTAAAAGCCAAATCATGTAATCAAGAAGTAATTAATCCGATAGCTACCTAATAACTTATCACCTCATCCCTACAATACTATGTCCACATAAGTATCACTTCTGTCAACTTTTTTTCCTTAGATGTTTTACTTATTACTGCATTTGCTTCCATTTTTTCTTAGCTATAAAAACAGTACTTCTTTCCAATGCTTTCCTGTTACTCAGACTATTTATATTGCTAACAAAGTATCTACAGAAACAGATGGCTTAGAAAAAACAATTATTCAGCTATGGGATTATTAAAAAGCTTCTAGGCAAAGATGTTTTTTTCTTTTTTTATAAAGTATATATAAAACATTTAATAAGACTATAACCTTTACTACAAGAGAGCGACCAGCCTTCTGTGAATCACCTCTGTGCAAGTCTACTGTGATTCTGTGTTTGTTACATACTTCAAAATATGAAGCTAGTATTTTCAGAGCAAAAAACATTTTTCTCTTAAGTCCCTGAGACTCACACAGCCAAATATCCATCTCACTCTCAGCAATCCGTTTCGGTTAAAAGGTTAAGAATAGATGTGTTACCAATGCTTTTCTCCAGGGCAAGCAGCTCTTCCTCCTGTTTGTGATAAGCACTTTGACAAAGCTTCGTTTGCAACCGCTCTGCTTCCTCAGACTTCAACTCCCACTGCTGCTTCAGCTGCCAGTACCTGTGAGGGCAGTAAGGACACACACTGCTACAAGGGTGCTCAGCACTTCCGTTTTGAAGTTGAAATAAGTAGAAGAATACTTATATTCCCATTCTAATGCAAGATACAACAATGACAAATGCTCAAATGCATGGAAGTCTGATATAATTACTTTAATAGTAATTGTGAAGTTTGTAGGTATGCAAGTTATTATATATGTAGCCCTGGTTACGTAGCCCTGATAAGATACATTAAAACCAAACATATGCAATACCACAGGGAATCTGGCAACAAATCAGAGTTCATGCTTTTCCAATAGCAGTGTGACAGATGCTAGGCTGAAGCATTAAATTAAAAAAATGTCTAAAACCAAAACTAGTTTCTTCCTTTTGGTTATATTTCTGGAAGCATATTACTGCTCAAAACTATTTGAAAAATAAATCTAGGTAGATAGCACATTACACAACGCTACCTCATGGCACTTTTACAGAACTGACTAAACATATTTTTATATTCCATCTTTTAAAATGATCTACGGTAACTGAGTACCTGAAAATCAAATGACTTAAAGTTATTTGATTTACATCCTTAGAGCAGCATCACTCAGATGTTCCCCTTTAGCATCTTTGCATTTTCTTGGGAGACAAATAAGAGCTATCACAAACTGAGATTCTATAGAGGTGTTAGAAAATATAGCTGAACAGGACCATTCTCCAGCAGACTTCATTAAATTTTAGAAAGTTTAAAGTGATTTAAAGTAGACATTATTGTATGCCATTCTTTTCCCCCAGTATTATCCAAAATAAAGTTTTCTTGCATGTGTTATCAAAAACTAAGTTTCCTTGTCAGTTGCTGTACTTGTAAGTTAAACTGAGGGGAGGTGAATGAGGAGAGGGGAAGGGAATAGGTTTCTGTGTATTATGTTCTCAGCATGCCCTATGCCCTCCAAAAATACTTCTTTATAGGCTGTTTACTCAGTCATGTATGAGAAGCAATCAACATTTTATAGGATAAGCCTTACTTTTCAGCCACATTCTTCAAGCTTGCCAGCTCCTCCTCTACACCCTCAAGTTCAGATTCCTTTGCCTTGAGTTCTGCTTCAATATCTTTCAATTCTTGAAGTTTAGACAAGATTGGGGCAGCCTGTGAGCTCGCACCTGTTCGGTGAAAAAAAAAAGCCAAATGAGATTTAAGTACTTCAAACCTAAACGACTTTATGCAAATAGCTTGCCATTCCTTTTAGTCTAATCAATCTTATTTCAGCTTGACTGACAAATCTTTGCTCAAACGGATTATGTTATCCCCAATATAAGTATAAACAAAAAGGTTACTGTTCATTTTTATGAAAAACATGCAAAACTGTAAACAATTCAATAGACAGGCAGTATTAATATATAAATAAAACCAGCAATTGCCTCCATGCAGAGTGCCCTGGGGGTCAAATATATCTCCGTCAATTGTAACACTTTTTGTCATTATCCTTCTGTCAAAGGTGACTTTCTTAGCATTATCCATGTTGTTACAGATCAGTGTTGTTCCAAAGACATATTCCATTGCTTTATGGACTTCAGGATCATACTCAACAACAGAAAGGGCTAAATGCAAGTTATCAGGACCAGCCTAGAAATCAAATGAAATGCAATTAGTATGCCTTAATTAAAATTTAATTTCTGTCTTCTCTTGATTAAAATACTTTCTTAAAACGTTGTTACATTTTAGAACAATTTCAGTTAAAAGTGGAATAATTAATACCCATTTAGACATTGCATAGCTGAAAGGATACAAAGGAAAATCATTAAATCAAAGTACTGTCAAGCTGTACAGAAATTATTAGTATAACCTTTAAGAAGCTCATGGTTTTAGCAAAGAAACAAAATGGAACAGGTACACAAGCAAGGTAGCATAGCATATTTATTTACATACCAAGGTTTGGGCCCGCTTGACAACATCTTGTCCAACACACCTGGCTGAAATTCTGTTTAGTGGAATTATGGTATATCGACCCTTTAGCTGACCATTTTCTAAAAGCTTTTTGCCAGTGACCTCAAATAAGAAAAATGACAAAACATACTTGACTACAAAACTGATCTTGTGAAGTAAGACAACAGGGCATTGCAAGAGGAATGTATTGTTGCCAGACACCGTGCATGACTCTCTTGACCGAAACACATCCAGGGGTCCAAACCACCTCTCAAGCACTGAGTAATAACGCACGCGCTCGATAACCACAGAGCACACAACCTCCTCTCAGCACTCACGGGTTCTGTGTTACAGTAACAAACATACCTCTGTGTCCACAACAACGTTATAGAGTTTTCCTCCAGCCACTGCTTCTAGGGCTTTTGCTTTGGATGGGTCTCTCACAGTGATAAGAGACACAACAAGGCCCTTCACACGGTTTGGATCCCAATCTTTTTCCGGATTTCTTAAAGTAAATTTAAATTATGATAATCACATGTTTGCTTTTCTCCCACACAACTTAAAAAAAAAAGTCTTTTAAAAACTCATAGTGCTTACTACAGTGGTATAAGAAATTCTAAATTTTATCAGAAAAAAAAAAAAAAAAACAGAAAATGGCTTAAATTAAATATTTCAGAGCAAGAGACTTCCCAATAAAGAGCAAGTTGCAAAGTCAGTAATGATTTTGGTATAATATGTTCATGCAATTTTCAGTTGATTTTTACTATGGGTTCTGCTATTAGCACAGCTTTAGGAATACGTTCAGGCTGGTTTCGTTACATAATAAAGTGAGCAAATAGATGTGGGGGATGTATATATTTGACAGGTGGAGACAGATACAATGCTGACCTCCCAGTCCATAGGCAGGACTCTGAAAAGCAACGATTACATATTTTTGCAGTTCTCTGGTTTTAGCTATTGAAGTTGAAATGCAGCTTACAAACACCACTGTACAAAACTTGAAAATTCCAGTGATTTTGATACAGCTGTCATTTAAGAATGACTGTATCACTTTCTCTGCTGACCATGAATTCAGTTAATATTTCCTGACTTCCCCCTCCTCCCCCTTCCATTTACATCACAGGTAAGGTAGTGATTACTCACTGGTACTAAAATGAAAGCAAGAGCTAAGCAATTGATGGAATTATCCCGTAAGCCCCCAAACCCGTGCATAAAATCCCCCAAAAAGCACTTTTAAATCTCTTTTAGGATCACACTGAGATCTTACTTGTATTCAAACTGTAAATGAGGAAACTTTGCCATTAAGCCTTCATACAATTCTCTCAGGTGACAGATGTCTTGAGTCAGTTCCTTCTTTTTTGCTAGAAGGGCTTCTTGTTTCTCTTCTGAAGAGTTGAACACAAGCCGTAGACAAACATTCAGAGCACAGAAATCTATTAGCTTAATAGTCAGTGTGCCACACTGCTTATCTACATATATGTAAGAGAACACTTAATGGAATAAAATCCTTTGTAAATTTCTTAATTTTAGATGGAATTTAAATTTACCATCAAAGTTTACAAGCCCAAAGCTTGTAAAATCAAACTATTTTAAACTATTTCCCGTGGAAGGCAAGAACTCGCACACCTTTGACCAGAGAAATGCTCAGAAATGCTTTTGTGCATGAAAGCAGCATGCTTGCTTTCCTAGTTCCTTCCTGTGCTGGGATGGAGTTCGCTTTCCCCACAGCAGCCCTCCTTGTGCTGTGCCCCGTACCTCCGGTGGCATGGCGCTAGCCACACACCTCTTGGTATTTTGGCTGCTGCTGAGCAGCATGGAGGCTGACCCTGCAGTGCCCACGGCAAGGGGCTGGGAGGGACGTGGGAAGGAGAGCGGGCCCTGGCAGGGCTCCATGCCACGTACACAGGCAGGCTCAGCAAGACGAGCTGGGAGAAAGGAGGAGGGGAAGCGACACGCTTTACTAGGGCATTTGTCTTCCAGAACAGCCACTACACATCCTGGGGCCCTGATTCCCAGGAAGCGGCTGGGTGTTGGGTGCTGACGGGATGCAGAGTAAATCTTCTTGTCTTTTGCTTCCGTGTCTGACGGAGCCAGTTCCAGCTGACTGCAAGACAGACCCGCTGCTGGCCAAGGCTGAGCCCATCAGCAGCGCTGGTAGCACCTCTGTGATAACACCATGGGGTACAAACTGCTGTACAACAGCAGCTGGGAGGAGTGAGACTGAGTGAGAGAAACAGTCCTGCAGAGACTGAGGTCAGTGGAGCAGGGGAGGAGGTGCTTCAGGCACTGGAGAAGACAATCGCTTGCAGCCTGTGGTGAAGACCGTGGTGAGGCAGGCCGTGCTTTGCAGCCCCTGGAGGTTAATAGTGGAGCAGACACCCATCTGCAGCCCATGGAGCACCCCATGCCTCCACACCCTGAAGGAGGGTGTGACCCTATGGGAAGCCTGTGCTGAAGCGTGTTCCTGGCAGGGCTTGTAACCCCACAGGGGACACACGCTGGAGCAGTCCATTCCTGAAGGAATGCACCCCATAGAAGGAAAACATGGAAAAGACCCATGTTGGAGCATTTCCTGAAAAGGTAGGAAGCCTGTGGGAAGGACTCATGTTGGAGAAGTTTGTGGAGGACTGTCTCCCATAGGAGGGACCCCCTCATTGGATCAGGTGAACAATGTGAGGAGGAAGAACCAATGAAGACAACATGTGATGAACTGACTGCAACCCCCATTCCCTATCCCCCTGTACCACTTAGAGGTAGAGAAAAATCAGAAAAGAAGTTGAAGACAGGACAAAAAGTATTTTAAGGTTTCTTTCCATTTTTTCTTTCTTGTCATTATCTTACTGTGATTTGATAGGTAATAAATTATACCAATTTCCCCAAGCAAGGGCTGTTTTGCCCATGATGGTAACTGTGGAGTAATCTCCCTGTCCTAATCTAGATCCATGTGCCTTTCGTCACATTCTCTCTCCTGTCCAGCTGAGGAGGGGAATAATAAAGCAGGTTGTTGGGCACCTGGTGGCCAGCCAAGGTCAAGCCACCACAATTCTACATTGCTTTTCAGGTTCCCCTAAAATTATGCTCCAGAAATCTGTACAGACCTTTGTAGTTTAGCTTCTGTATTTGGTTCTCTAGTTTTTCTTTTCCTTTTTTGATAGCTTCAAGTGCTTCTTTGTCTTTCTTGTAGCCTTTGTCCATCTCTTTGACTTCAGCTTGTTTTGTCCTTAATTCTTGTTGTGCATAACTCAACTTCATTTCAGCCTGTACGGAGTAAGAAAATATAGAACCAGAAGATCTTTAAAGAGAATCTTGCCGGTGCAGATTTAGAACATTTGCACTAACAAGGTACTCACATAATTTGTAGAAGTTTCCACTGTTTGCAAAAGTGCCAAAAAGCAGCCTTGGCTTTTGAAAGTAAGGGCACAGGTGATTTGGAAATAAAAACATAAATTTGGATACAATAACTCATAGTAGCACACAAATGGAGTCTGAGAAGAAACAAGGTAAAATCATGTGGGACATAGCTGTTATTGTTATCTTTCCTCAGAGTTTTTCCTTTAAGTGAGACAAGCAAAGTGGACTTTCAACTCTGAAAATCTAAATTCCATCACAAGAACTACCCCAAGAGAAGTTTCCTATCTTGAGACAAAAGAAGTGACACCTGTTTAGTCATGTGACTAGCATGCACTTCAACTGAGGAGAAAGTTTCATAACTCTCTGTACAGTCCCAGGCGTCTTTATTTCAATTCCATGAAGCTTTACTGCAGAAATAGCTGTTATACGAATGTGTATCATGGACAGCGGTCTCAATTTCTTCCTATCCAATACCATCAATCATTTGAGTACTGACTTACTTCATGTTTCAGATGTCAGTTTCTGTACTTCCTCTCAGCAATGCTATAGCTTCTCCCTATCTGTCTATATCTGTGCAAGGATTTGTTTGTTTTTAATGATCTGCTTTATCAAAAAGCCCCTTTAATGCATATGTGAAATTGTAAAATACAATAGACATTCTGCAATCTTTTCACTGACCTTTCAAGAGTGTGTCACTTACTTTTCTGACAATTTTCAAAAGAAGCAGGAAGGCTTGTCTGAGACAGGTAGAGCTTTTATTCTTACCTGCTTAGCCTCTGTTACTGCTTTGCTGATTTCATTTTTGCAGGTCATCATCTGCTCAGCAAGAGTAGATTCTTCCCCATCAGCAATGCTGGACAAGCCAGCAGACACAGCGTTAAAATGCTGTTGTGCTGCAGCTAAAGCATCCATGTCTTGCTCACTTATTTCCTGTAAAGATTTTAGTTGTTCCTGTGCCTTCTTTACTTCTCTGTCCTTTGACATGAATGCTTTAGAATCCTTCAGCAAAACAAGGAGAAAGGAAAAAAAAAAAAAAAGGAAGAGAATGAGTCCTGTTAACTTCAAATTCATGTTGTTTAGATGAGGAGCTATAAGTAGTTTCACTAATTACATTTCTAAAATTCTTTGTCAGATTTTGGGATCTCTGAATCTGTTTTTGCATGTTTTCAAGTGGGGAGGTCCCAGTTGCTGGACGTTAGTAAATGTTGATGCCCATGTACAAGAAGGGCCATAAGGAGGATCTGAGGGATTAAAGGTCTGTCAGACTGACCTCAGTGCCAGGCAAGGTTATGGAACAAATCACCTCGAGTGCCACCATGAGGCACATATAGCACAACCAGGTGATCAGGCCCAGTCAGCATTGGTTTATGACAGGCAGGTCCTGCTTGACTAACTTCTATTACTAGGTGACCAGCTTAATGGATGAGGGAAAGACTGTGGCACAGCATTCTCCTGGAGAAACTGGCTCGTCATGGCTTGGATGGGTGCAAGCTTCGCTGGATAAAAATATTGGCTGGATGGCCAGCCCCAAAGTGGTGGTGAAGGGATTTAAATCCAGATGGTGGCTGTTTCACAAGTGGTGTTCCCTAGGGCTCAGTTCTGGGGCTTACTCTCTTTAACATCTTTATCAGTGATCTGGAGGAGGGGATCAAGGGCACTCTCAGCAAGTCTGCAGACAACATCAAGTTAGACAGGTGTGCTGATCTGCTTGAAGGTAGGGAGGCTCTACAGAGGGATCTAACAGGCTGGAGCAATGGGCAGAGGCCAGGGGTGTGATTTTTGACAAGGTCAAATGCTGGGTCCTGCACTTGGGTCACAGCAACCCCAAGCAATGCTACAGGCCTGGGGAAGAGCAGTTGGAAAGCTGCCTGGCTGAAAAGGACCTGGGGGTGTTAGTCGAGAGCCCTCCACATATGAGCTGGCAGGGTGGCCAAGAAGGCCAACAGCATCCTGGCTTATATCAGAACTACTGTGGCCAGGAGTAGGGAAATGATTGTTCCATGTACTCAGCCCTGGTGAGGCCACAACTCAAGTGCTCTGTTCAGTTTTGGGCCTCTCATTACAAGAAGGACATTGAGGTCCTGCAGTGTGTCCAAAGAAAGGCAACGAAGATAGTGGAAGATAAAAGGATGAGATTTATGAGGAGCAGCTTAGTGAACTGGGATTGTTTAGCCTGGAGAAAAGGAGGCTCAGGGAGACCTTATTGCTCTGTAAAACTGCTTGAAATGAGTTTATAGTGAGGTGGGGGTAGGTCTCTTCTCCCAAATAACAAGTGATAGGATGAGAGGAAATGAGCTTAAGTCGTGCCGGGGAGGTTTAGGTTGTATATTAGGAG